TATCAGACAGCAAAAGTCAAAAAACAAATTTTCAATCACTAATCTTCGAACTTCTTTCATATGTAAGAATATTTTATCCGTTTTAAAAATTGGCAAAAACGCGTTAGTATAAGAACAAAATAAAATGGGCGCCCTCCGTATGTCAGTTTTTGGTTTCCCATGATACTGGAACCCAAAAACCTTTTCAGTTCTTTGATCACAAAAAAACTTCGTTTCACAGGACCAGGGGGCCATTCGCCTAACGGGATTGCTTTAGAATACGCTATCGTTTACGATTTCATTTTGTTATTTCTAGCCACCTGAAGTTTTAAAATGCCTCGCGCTCTTTATTTTTCTTTTGCATTGTTCATAACAATATTAAAGAAAATGAGCATGAGGTATTTAAGAAACTTCAAAATAAATAATTATTATTATATTATTATTAATTCTGCTGTACGGCGTATAAATTGAATCTACGTATAATTTATGCACAATGCGTGTTCGGCTAGCCGATAATCATCGACACGGCTGACGAGTGATCTAATGATGATACATTATATTATCATACATAAATATGTGTTGAATACAAATAAATAAATCGATGAATAAACTATCCTCGAATTAAACTTAACGACGATTACTTATTATTATAAAACGACGGGTATTTATATCGTTTCATTTGCAGTACAATAACTTTTTCTACAAAATTCAGCTTCCATGCTAACAAGTTTTTTGTAACAAAAGAACTGAAAAGGGTCCTACAGTCAAGTCTCAGAATTAGTTCTGTATTCTAGAGTCAAGTATAATGTGACGATTTGCGCAAGGTGGCTGGCAGGAGAGCTGGATGCGAATAGCCCAAGAGCGATCTGAGTGGCGTGCATTTGGAGAGGCTTATGTCCAGCAGTGGACTAAGATAGGCTGTTGATGTGATAATGTGAATTTAAAATACTTTATAATACCAATATTAACTAAGCGTTTTCTAATTTAATTAATAGGTGAATTGAATGTGTGGCCTGAGACAACGTATGTTTCTAATTCTAATAGTGATTCTTATTAAGAATGTATTACTAGCGTATCTAACTAAATTGCCTACACTACGTGTAAAACGTGTACTGATTTGGAGTATTCCCAAAAAAATGAAAAGAACACAATGAAGTCAGAATTTCCAGACATGAATTGATAACAATGCGCAAGTCCCCATCAGAGATGGATGTCTCCCGCCCACATTAGGTGTAATTTAAAACCCCATTTCCCTACTACGGCTTTTATGACTAGCTTTGAATGATAAGCGGTTGACGATGACGTCATTCTACGTCTGTTGTCTATTCCTTTCGCTTTCGGAATACGAACTCTAATTCTAAGGTCACACTACAAACTAGGGTTGCACAGAAATAAAACATAACATCAAAATATAGGTCAGTAACGAATGCCTTTATATAGCATGCTTCTGTAGTCCCTCGCAAGTAGGTGTGGGTATAGTTATATTGTGAAAAACTGGTGTTTTGGGGATTTTGGGACAATAAGGTCTTATTATATATATATATATATATATATATATATAATGAAAGGAGCTCGATGGCGCAAGTGGTTAGCGCGTTTGGCTGCGATCGTTGAAGTTAAGCAACTTTCGCAGTGGTCGGTCATTGGATGGGTGACCAAAAATTTACTATCTCGTGCTCCTCCGTGCTTCGGAAGGCACGTTAAGCCGTTGGTCCCAGCTGCATCTGCAGTCGTTAGCACCCACCAATCCGCACTGGGCCCGCGTGGTGGGTCATGGCCCACTAGGGTAGGCTTGTGCCCCAGCAGTGGGGACATTAATAGGCTGATGATGATGATGAAGGTCTTATTACTGGACACGGCACAAGACGCAAAATTCCGGGACAATCCCGGATTTCCCGACCATCTGCCAACCCTACTACAAACAGCCTCGCTAAACCAAGTTGAGTAAACTTATCACAGTTCCTGTGCGTATTATTTATATTATTGTTGGCGTATACGTGACTTGCATTGCATATATCTACTACTATGCTTCTAAACTTCGCACTAAGCCAGGCTTTTGTTAGTAAAACTAAATTTAATATAATATTTTTACTTATTGCTTTAAAGATATTGATATATGCAGGTGGACACAGAAAGTAATTGATTGATCGAATGTGAGATAGGTTGTGTATTGTTCGATTATAGCACAGTTCTGCTAAGTTCTGTGTAAAATTGTTGTGAGTCCTTTATAAACTAATCAGGCATGAGCTGTGTCTATGAATGTGATCATTTCGGGCTTATATTTTAACAGCTACAATTCGCTTAGATTTAAAAGGAAAGATCCTAACGATATTGAATGACTTAACAACGATGAAGTCATTTCTTTACGACTAAGTTGTGTGTGAATAAGCTATCATAAGGCAGATGTTAGAGATGGGCAACAATATTGAATACTTAATTAAGTCACTTATTATTTCTAAAGAAAAGATTTTACTAGAAAAAAAATCCACGCGGACCAGGCAGCGGACGGGACTCGAAGCAATCCGGGCGAATGCACTGACCAATTATGCTACCACGGCCCTGATGGCCGCGTCGAAATTTTCCTAGCCTTAAGCTGCAAGGCAGCGCCATCTCTTCGCATTGTAGATAACCCACAAAAATAAAAACATCACTTATTACTGTTTAAATCCATCGTGCTCACAAATAAAGTTATAGAACCAACTTTAATCAAAACTTAAGAATTATTAAATGCCTCTGAGAGTGACCGTATCTCATTTAATGGTCTATTCTCGAAGCAAGTGTCAGTAATTAGAGGTAGGTACAGTTTTATATATTTCTTCGAGATAAAAAGTATCCTATGTCTCAATCCAGTTCATAAATTATAAACGTACTAAATTTCATCTCAAACCGATCAGCATTTTTGTGTGTGATTGAGTTACAAACATTCCCCCTACCCCCGTAGAACCCACCGCAACGTTTCATTAATACTTGACCCAATTTAAGATTTTGAAATGTAAAATGTGATTTGATACAAACGTTCACATTTATAACATTAGTAGGAGTATGAAGTATGTACTTGTTAGCCCTTTTCTTCAACTTGGGTATATGCCTCTTTCATTTTAAACCATTGTTCTCGATTTTGGGCTTTCCCTATCCATTTCACTCCAGCTGTTCTTTTGATATTGTCGCATTAACTCATATTTGGTCTTCCTCGGTGTCGTTTCAGACCCCATGGTAACCATTCTGTGTGTGGTTTACATCACGACGCCTTTTGGCAACGCCTTATGGCAACATGGCCAGCACACTGCCAGCCTTTGGATAGGCCAGATAACCATAATTAACCTAAAAGAATTTAACAAAAACATTAAATGACAATTAACATTAACACAATTAACAAAAAAACAGTGAGAAAAACAGCTCATAGCGAAAAAGCGACTGTTTTGCTCATTCATAACGAAGAATATCAAAAACAAAGCCTTTGAATAGGGAAGGAACTTTAGAAAGGTTTCATAACTAAACTTTCTGGACCTCCAGCAATGCGTCTATATATATTACACATTGGTCTTTTAACTATGCTCAGATGAAAAATGGCTTTGGGTACTATTACCACAGAACACAGTAAGAGGTTAGTAGGGACTTGTGGGCGGGGCAGGAGCGCCACAGATGTGTGAGCAAGTTCTCATGACTTAGCCAAAGCTTGGTTCTGATTGCGTCGTTGCTCTCGGGTGTGAGCGGTGATTGGTTCGATTGTTTGATGTCGCGTCATTTGATTGGCTATTGTCTATTAGGTGGAAGTGTGATGGGGACGAGCTGGCGACATAGGTTCCCGTACAAAATGTCTATGATCACCCTTCTAACCTCTGTCCGTGTTCTGTGACTATTACTTATCACATAGTATTACAATATTTGAAATGACAAAGATGATTTTTACATCCAAAGAACATATTGGTGTCGATTCTGGCACGATTCTCTAAATCTAAACTTAAATTTGACAACAGTGTATCCTTGTCATTCTCTATACAGAATGAAAAGGACAGACTGATGTTAAATTTAGTTTTAAGTTTAGAGAATCACGCTGGAATCGACACCATTGTAAACTTATCATTGTATGTAAACGAGAATGTTTATAAGCTGGCCTAATTTTTCGTGTAGAATGAATGGTTATTTATGTTGTTTGCAATAAACAAACACTATTGTTACAGAGACTACGACGTTTCTATGTATGTAATATTCTTGGAGATATCTATAAGGTTTTACTATGAGTGTGATTCAAAACATGATTATCGTTAACGTATAAAAAAGTATTAGTCTTATCCATTTTAACTAGAAATTTATAGATTGATCAGCTAGTGAAATAAAAGTGTATATACCTAAAGGTTTTTGACTGATTATAATGTATCAAGATAAGACAAGATAATTTAGTGATAAGTGAAGTATATAGTACATATCTTCTCCACACAGCGATAATAAAGAACACTAGCCTCCCCAGCATGAGCAGCGCGATATGATATATAGCTCTTTTTAATTACGTTCAATTGTCAAATTACTATGGAGTTTGACAGTTAGACCTGACAGAAACGTGATATAATGTAAATTGTGGTGCTCATGCTACAGGGACTGCTGTAAATGGGGTGGAAAACACTATTCAGTTATAAATGTACTATTAATATTTAAGCAAATTACCGCTCCCCACCTGATGTTAAAAATGAGTGGTGGAGTACTATTGCGAAAATTGGCCGACCGAATCCACTTTCCTATCGCGTGGAGTCCTGAAAGTTTTCTCTCGTGGAAAGAATCACAATATCATCAATAGTTATTATTATTTCAATGTGAATTTCTGTAAGCTGGATGTTACTTCCCCAGACGGGCGCTCTAGTTCAAAATATTGCTAAGTATAAAATGTCGTTCAAGAAAACTGTTAGGTGCCAAAGGGACTAGATCAGTAAGGCTAGCTCAGGTCTTTCACAATTCCTCAAAATCTAATTTATTTTTGCCAGTACTTTAATTTTAAAATATTTATAACTGTGTATGTTTGTTTTCAGAAAGACCTGCAAGTCGTGCGGTTGCGATCGTCTTTCGCATTCGGTGTACCATGAGGAGCTGGGGTCGGTGCGCGAGCGGCTCGGGCTGCGGGACACGAGGGTCAACCACCACTCGTACGACAGCCCGCCAGGACTCACTGCCAAACAGGTAACGTCCATACTGTACTGTATCGCATTCGGTGTACCATGAGGAGCTGGAGTCGGTGCGCGAGCGGCTCTGGCTGTGGGACACGAGGGTCAACCACCACTCGTACGACAGCCCGCCAGGACTCACTGCCAAACAGGTAACGTCCATACTGTACTGTATCGCATTCGGTGTACCATGAGGAGCTGGAGTCGGTGCGCGAGCGGCTCGGGCTGCGGGACACGAGGGTCAACCACCACTCGTACGACAGCCCGCCAGGACTCACTGCCAAACAGGTAACGTCCATACTGTACTGTATCGCATTCGGTGTACCATGAGGAGCTGGAGTCGGTGCGCGAGCGGCTCTGGCTGTGGGACACGAGGGTCAACCACCACTCGTACGACAGCCCGCCAGGACTCACTGCCAAACAGGTAACGTCCATACTGTACTGTATCGCATTCGGTGTACCATGAGGAGCTGGAGTCGGTGCGCGAGCGGCTCGGGCTGCGGGACACGAGGGTCAACCACCACTCGTACGACAGCCCGCCAGGACTCACTGCCAAACAGGTAACGTCCATACTGTACTGTATCGCACTCGGTGTACCATGAGGAGCTGGAGTCGGTGCGCGAGCGGCTCTGGCTGTGGGACACGAGGGTCAACCACCACTCGTAGGACAGCCCGCCAGGACTCACTGCCAAACAGGTAACGTGCATACTGTACTGTATCGCACTCGGTGTACCATGAGGAGCTGCGGTCGGTGCGCGAGCGGCTCGGGCTGCGGGACACGAGGGTCAACCACCACTCGTACGACAGCCCGCCAGGACTCACTGCCAAACAGGTAACGTGCATACTGTACTGTATCGCACTCGGTGTACCATGAGGAGCTGCGGTCGGTGCGCGAGCGGCTCGGGCTGCGGGACACGAGGGTCAACCACCACTCGTACGACAGCCCGCCAGGACTCACTGCCAAACAGGTAACGTGCATACTGTACTGTATCGCACTCGGTGTACCATGAGGAGCTGCGGTCGGTGCGCGAGCGGCTCGGGCTGCGGGACACGAGGGTCAACCACCACTCGTACGACAGCCCGCCAGGACTCACTGCCAAACAGGTAACGTGCATACTGTACTGTATCGCACTCGGTGTACCATGAGGAGCTGCGGTCGGTGCGCGAGCGGCTCGGGCTGCGGGACACGAGGGTCAACCACCACTCGTACGACAGTCCGTGAACGTGAAAAAAATAGTGTGCACGGACCACACATCTGAAGTGAAACCTCTATTCTAAAATAAATTTACACATTAGGCTGTGCACGAGGTATAGGGAATGGAGCAGAGGGACAAATATATAAATGTATATATTTGTCGCGTGTGACGCTCGTAGCGTTTCAGCCTTCGCCGAGTTACCTTCCAACTTTCATGCTTATCGGGAAGAGCTGCGCACACATCCCATACATACACACATATATATATGAAGGCTTCGTTTCTGTTCGTTCGACCATTTTTTCTGAAAGAATCCAATAGACCATTTGTTCGTGATTGCATTACGTTAATGAAAGAGACAATGTAGCCATTCCCATACTTTTTAGGGGGATTAGGGCAGAATCACATCACACACACAATAATGAAATGGCTTATCCTGCAGTCCTAAATAAATACGGTTAGCAAACAATTCGAGATCTCGAGCTCAAAAATGCGATTTGGTCCCACGTTTACATATAATAATCGATGGGAGATTATTACGACAAGCGTTACTTGCCTCACTTGTTTAAAAGGGAGCAAGCACAGACACAGATTTATTTAATTTACGATCCATATCTTTGGAAGTAAGAGTGACAATGCCCATCCTAGACCTATCAGCCCACCTAAAATTATGGTGTTGAAAATTACTTCACAGTTAAAAAATATTTCAGAGTGAATGTTAATTTGACCCGACGACTAGGAAAAATTCGCACCTGCGCCAATATTATATATTGTATCTACAATATTGTAAGGGGTTGTGTTTTTTATTTTTTTTACAGACTGAACTCTATTGGCAATCGCTATCAGAGAGAGAACCGAACGCAGGTGGCGCCACCGGCGCGGCGGCGTGGCGGACGTGGCGGACCAGAGCCTTAGCTTCGCAACTGCCGAAGCAGGACCTCTCGTTGGCACACTGTCGGCATATCGACGAAGCGCATCGCAAGCAGTTCGAGGACTTCGTCGCTGCGAGGAACGAAATAGCGCTCGATATTGGTGAGTATAGCGGCGCCATCTATTGGGGAGTAGTTGAACAACAAGACTATTGGTGAAAATTATTCTCACAAGAGTTCATTTTTAATTTGAAAGTAAGAAAACAATTCATTCATTTGTTATAACATTCTTTATGTATGCTCATACAAAAAAGTAATTTAATTTAATAGAAGCGTATGCGAAAAAATCTTACTTAAATGAGTAAGTTACTACCTCAATTTGTAAGCTAAAGATTGATTTACAGGTATTGCCAGACAACACCATGGATCTCCTGTTGACTGTTTAGGTTGCAATAAACCTATACGTAGTGGAAGTATTGCGATAGAAGCGCCAAGATTAAGTGAAGAGGTAAATATGTTATTTTTTAACTAGCGCCATCTCTTAAAGAACTTTATAACTATTTGCTCCTATTATACAAGCTAGTTTCGCTATTCGGCAATAGATGGCTGGCTTACTGCACTCGCTAATATTTGATTATTTTAATCTACGCACTCAGGTTACGCATTGATTAGACTTGTCTGTCGTAAACCGATAACGAGGTTAAAATGTTGGCCTTATTCATTACACGATAAGACATTTCACTAGAAATATGGTTCTTGAAAACTTTAATCTTTTGATTTTAATTAAATATCATACAGGTCACGAAGCAATAGCTACATTTTATTCGGATTAGGAATTTAGATCTTGCCTTTTGCTTTTAATGATAATCACTAACATTTGATATCAGTACCCCTAGCACGAACCATTATCGAAGTTGAATACTTTGCAAACCGAAATGACAATGTCATATTTTGTATGGAAACTTGAACAGCAGCGGCACAAAGTACGTAGGTAACGAGAACTAAAAATCAGTACATATTTGGCAATGACATTTCAGACTCGCAAACGATACGAATTCGAATCGTTTTCGAAATGTCAATGTCAAATTTTGTATGGAAACTTGAACAGCAGCGCGAAATTCGTGTTATGGCTCTAATGAAAACGCGCACGACGCGTTGTGGCAATCACAGAAAGACCAAATAGCGAAATTCGTGTCGTGGCTGACATGCTATTCGATCTTAACGCGTTGTGGCAATGAAGAAAAGCCATGATGCGTTCTGAGCATTCATTCTTTTAACCATGTCACGACGGACAGGTTGTAACTTGTCGGTGTCTGCTCGGGTGTAGAGACGCATTGAAACATCAGTTTTATTCATTTCTTTTTACTAATTATGACGAATAAAAAAGAAGTGTTTTACAATAAATTACGTAAGTTTGTGGAAACAAGCACTGATCGCAGTTTTATCATGACTACAGAAAAATATGAAATGTTACTGAGGTAAAACACCCAATCTTCGACAAGGCACCATTGTCCAACATTAAAAAACAAAACAAAGAAAAATAAGAATATATTCTGACTTCTGAACACATTTGAAGCGTAAACTATAGACGAGGATTGTCTAGCTGTCATTGCTGATAATGTTTCATATTTTCGGCAATTTTGTACAAAATGGCGTAATGATATATTTCGACCGCGGTAGATCTCCAACCAAATCCAGTTTTATTAGTGAAATCGCTAAGGAGGTGAGTAAGATTTATTGCTCATAACTTTAAATGGTTTTGCTTTATCTTAAACGTTAGTCATTTATTACATGAGGATAGAGATTCACAACTGCTTTATAATTTCACAAGAAGGGTAAGGTTATATTAAAATGCTAAAACACGCCTGTCGGTAATTGGAGATTTTTTTTTTGCTTTTTCCAATCTTCGACAAATGTCGAAATGTTTTTTTATTTTATTTTGTGCACTTTATTATATTATTTAGCTAAGCTTGTTCAGCACTCTTAATATTTAGGTCTTTCATTTAAATATTCAAACTGCTTCCAATGATCGACAGCCGTGTCGATGATTGGGTATCCCATACGTTCCAATGACCGACAGACGATATGTCGATGATTGGATATTCTATATGTTAGTCTACATGTTCCAGTAACCGACATTTTTTGCAGGCATGGCCCCCTTAAAAAAAATGACATGCCTCTTCAAATGGCCCAGGCCGTAGAAGCAGTCAGAAAAGGTGAGAAAACTGCAACTGCCGCAAAAAAAGTTTGGTGTACCCAAAATTACATTACACGATAAGATTTCCGGTAAGACTCCAGGTGAATGTTCCATGGGCACTAAAACATATTTTTCAACGGTAGAGGAGGCTATTTTAGAAAAATGGATACTTGAAATGGCTGAAAAACACATTCCCGTTACTAGAGATGAGTTACTCGATAGCGTACAACGTTTCATAATTGACCAGAATAAAACAACCCCATTTACTACCAATAGACCGGGCAAGCCAGCAAAAACATATTCTATTGGAGATTATGTTATAATCCAATACGAAGGGGATTTTTTCCCAGGCGTAATTAAAATTTTTGATAAAAACAAATTTGAAATTAGCACCATGGCCTTTTCGGTGGGTAACATGTTCAAGTGGTCGGAAAAAGAAGATAAAATCTGGTACCAAAAGTCTGATATAGTTAAAGTAATTTCGAAACCAATGCTATGCAATAAAAGAGGTTTATTAAGTACTTAAATTACCTACGCATTACATGCCAACATGCCCTTGTTTGTTTATTTAGCTAATTAAAATGATTAAAATACTGAATAAGACTTTTTTTTGGGAATGGTGTTTGAGGTCAGGACGATATTTGGATGATGATAAATAGAACATGTTGATTACTAGATCACGATTATTGGAACATGTCGATTACTGGGTGTCGATATATGGAATTTTGCTGTCGATAACTAGGCTAAAAAAAGCCTAAAACTATCTTGTTTTTTTTCCTAAGTTATTAGTATTACACTTCTGTTTGCTTTAAAATAATATAGAATTAACCCTAAAATGTTACCCAGTGCATTAAAAAATCATGTCTTATCATAATCAAACCAGATATTTGAAAAATGCTCGAATTTCGACGTTAAAGTGTCGATAATTGGGTGTTTTACCTTGAATGAAACAAAAAATTATCATAAAACACTTCTTTTTTATTCGTCATAATTAGCGCTGACATTAAAATTTACTCTCATAAACAGAAAAGAAATGAATAAAACTGATGTTTCAATGCGTCTTTGCACCCGAGCCGACACCGACAAGTTACACAACCTATCCGTCGTGATATGGTTAAAAGAATGAATGCTCAGAACGCGTCATGGCTTTTCTTCATTGCCACAACGCGTTGAGATCGAATAGCATGTCAGCCACGACACGAATTCCGCTATTTGATGTTTCTGTAATTGTCACAACACGTCGTGTGCGTTTTCATTAGAGCCATAAGCCATAACACGAATTTCGCCATGTGGATGTTTTCCTGGACCACAACGCGTTGTGAGTTATTTTTCCGCTCACTGAGCGTTTTCGATCATATAGATATATGCAAAGGGAAGGGGTTCGAAATGTTTAAATTAAAATTGGATTCCATCAATATTAGGGGCAGGAAATCGTTCAATATCAAAGAAAAATACCATCTCTAATAAAGTAAATATTTTTCGGTGTTTTATACAAAATTCTTAAATATTAATAGAAACAAAGGTATTATTAGTTAACAGCCGAAAGGGTTAACCAGCTTAGCTTGTGATGCAGTTTTAAGCGACAACTTTGGTTCTCAGCTTGAACAGCATTATAATGAAACTAGTTGCTAGACTAACTAATTTGCGAGCTAATATTAGATTAAAGAACTGAATGTAACCAAAGCAAATAAATATCATGACCTCAGATTTATAACTATGACTAGTTTTGTTGTTAGTGACAACATATAAAGATGCAAATTCAAGTAAGACATACTTATTTATAAATATTTGTTGGTGTCAGGGTCCGTTCCATCCGTCGTGTTTCTCGTGCTCGGAATGCGGCGATTTGTTGGTGGAGCTGGCGTACTGCGCGCTGGACGGGCGGCTCTACTGCGTGCGCCACTACGACGAACGGCTCAAGCCGCGCTGCCACGCCTGCGACGAGGTAACACATTACAGTACCACCCAGGGTTCGAGCCGTCCGTCATGTGTCTCGTGCTCGGAGTGCGGTGACTTTTTGGTAGAACTAGCGTACTGTGCGCGAGACGGGCGGCTCTACTGCGTGCGCCACTATGACGAGTGGCTCAAGCCGCGCTGCCACGTCTGCAATGAGGAAACCTTACTACACTACATTACCACTACATTTCATTATGAAGCGAATTACTTCACACCACTAAAGTTAAATGTATTTCAGTGGAGAAGTAGGTAGCTGAAAAATGTTCCCCCTCCAGCCATCCTCGCCCTTTGTCAATTTGAACCTAATCCCCTTTTACCCAGAGGAGCAGTGAATGTAAGCTTTCACACCAACAGACATTATAATATCATCAAAAGGTAGTATTATTTCGCTATGAACTTCTGTAATGTGGAAATTTGTTCACCAAATTCCTCAGAAGCTTGCTCCTAGTGCATAAACAACCATAACTCGGGAACAAATAGTTATGTTCATCGCACAAATAAATGCCCCTGGGATTCGAATCCAAGACCATACCGTAGAAGACAAGAGTGCTGCCATTGCATCAAAACGTTGACAAAGCAGTCAGTATTATCAGTAACTTTCACAACCCCATCATCATCAGCCTATTAATGTCCCCACTGCTGGGCCACAGGCCCTTCCTATGGATGGAATAGGGGGAATTGGACCATGACTCCACGCGGGCCCAGTGCGGATTGGTGGGTGACGACTATAGTCGGGACCAACGGCTTAACGTGTCTTCCGAAGCACGGCGGATTTCGAGATAATCAATTTTTGGTCACCCATCCAATGACCGACCACTGCGAAAGTTGCTTAACTTTAACGATCGCAGCAGAATGCGCTAACCATTTGCGCCATCAAGCGCCACGAAAACTCCATTCGATTTAGATTAGAAACTTAATATCAGAAGCCGTTGTATTTAAATTTAAAAAATCTCCGCATCGTACCACGGTAAAATATTATAGGTATCTGTCGAAGGCATCCGATCGGGCTAAGTCTAGTCCGTATACAAAATGACTAGCACGACCGCGGTTTATTTTCGACCGAGGATCGCTGATCTGACGGCTTGACATTTGCCAGCACACGAATTTAAACAGAGTTATGTATCCAGGCGTGTACCTGTCTGACAGCTGGGAGATCTGTGGCGCCATCTATGTAGGCATTGAAAACTTTTTTTAAAATTGCTAGACTTTTTGATGATCAAATTACCTATGTGTCGATAGATATTTTTTGTGGTTTTTTGCGTTACATAAATATTGATATGAATTTTGAACATTACCATATCATTATTATTATGTTTTTTTTTAAAGACTAAGGCGTTAAATGAATAAATACAACAAGTTTCAACGGGTTTGATGCAGTGTTTTTTTTATTAATGACGTTTCGTGTCCTTTGCAGGAATACGCGTTGTCGGAATAATGATTTTTTATTTATTTTGTCGAGGAGCTCGATGGCGCAAGTGGTTAGCGCGTTCGGCTGCGATCGTTGAAGTTAAGCAACTTTCGCAGTGGTCGGTCATTGGATGGGTGACCAAAAAATTACTATCTCGAGCTCCTCCGTGCTTCGGAAGGGACGTTAAGCCGTTGGTTCCGGCTGCATCTGCAGTCGTTAGCACCCGCCAATCCGTACAGGGCTCGCGTGGTGGGTCATGGCCTAATCTCCCTATTCCATCCATAGGGAAGGCCTGTGCCCCAGCAGTGGGGACAGTAATAGATAGGCTGATGATGATGATTTATTTTGTCTAGCTACCTTCGACAGATTTTTATTTAAATTAATTTTGATCGGAGCTTTAATAGATGTTACTACATCTATCTATCTTTAATCATAGAGATGAAACACTAATGGATGGACTGATAAATTGTATTAAGCTGAAACTTGCAAACATTGTAGCAGTCTCATCCAGCAGAGGAACCGTCACAAAACAGACGGTAAACGTATGTCTGACAATTGTTTTGGTGTTCCGTATTTATTTAAAAGTAAAGGAAAGTAATCACGATGCTTCCACGAGGTTACCGATAACTTTTTTCAAATATTCTAGCTAAGGTGAAATTTGCGGAAAAATATGACAAGCGATTTTCACTTATTTTTTCGGAAATACCTCTTACATTGATTTTTAGTGGATTTTTAGTTCTCGTTACCTACGTACTTTGTACCGATGCTGTTCAAGTTTCCATACAAAATTTGACATTGAAACTTTGGTTTGCAAACTATTCGAATTCGATAATGGTTCGGGTGTGAGTTTGACAATTTTTCGTAGAAGGCTTTTAAGTATAACAAATGCCCGTGATCTAAAAAACTATAGTCTACACCGGTGCAAAGTAAAAACCAGTACCCTTAGTACGAGTTTTAAAATTACGAAAACTATGATAGTTTTTGTGAGCTCGCACTCATATTAAGGGTACTGATTTTATTGTTTTCGTTTTAATAAAAATAAACAGTGTCTAAATTCTATCATTAAATCATTTGCGTCATCTTAAATCCTTACTAATATTATAAAGGCGAAAGTTTGTTTGGATGGATGTATGGATGGATGTTTGTTCCTCTTTCACGCAAAAACTACTAAACGGATTTTAATGAAACTTTACAGTAATGTAGCTTATAGATCAGAATAACACATAGGCTATAATTTATAAAGATATTGTGTGAATTGTCCAAAATATAACGATAAATGTCATTTAAGTCTGAAAAAATTCTGCAATCTGCGAGCTATTCAGGCGTGTAAGGATAAAATTGTCTAAAAAATATCCCGCAACAGCATATGTCTATCTTTTATGGTTGACTCACAATAACACGTGTAATTATATAAATAAAGTCATTCTTTATAGCACAAGCCTGAGAACAAAAAGTATAGTTACCACTACAGCTCTACACCGAAGCGAAGCGAGGGTGGATCACTAGTTTTAAGTATATTTGGTTACTTTTCACCAAAATGGACATAGAAACATAATTTACAATTACGAAAACTATGATAGTTTTCGTGAGCTCAAACTTGTACTAAGGGACAAGACACATATATATTTATTGCCTAATTATTTAACGATATAAATAAAATCTAAAACAATAAAATTAGCAATAATCTTTAAACATTGACATTTTAAATATTTTTTTCCCATTCATTGTAAGTTATTTAATCATGTGATTAATTTATATTGCTTTTTTGATGAGCATAAAAGTAATTGCTAAGGATATTGTAACTCAATCGGCCATTTGAATTAAGGTGACATTTATATTGCTGAATAACAGCCATGCCATCTTGAACAAGTTTTGAAATTCATAAGTACAGCTATCACTGCACACATATACATTGTAAATTGTTAGTAAACGAATGAAAAATATATTTTATGCGTTAAAGATAAAATGCTGCAGGGGAAGGAATCCACACCTTAGTGCAATATATAATTAAACCAACTATATGCGTCCGTCTGTACCACAGTACCAGTCCGTCTGTAGAAGGCTGTACCACATACCACCATAAATTATATAGGTACTAAGTCAATAAGAAATTTTCAAAGACTTTGTATTTATATTAACCGTTACTGACTGACCTATCAACGCAAAAACCACTGAATGAATTGCGCTGAAATTTGACTCATATAAACATATATAGCCATTATGATGAAGGCGTGCGCTTAGAAAGGATTTTCCAAAACTCGCCCCCTAAAGACAAAAAACAGGGGTTCAAAGTTTTGTATAGGAAACCAATATTGAAAGTCAAACGAAATTACCTGTAAGTGACGTTCGACTGATATTATACGATGTGATTCGCCAGAGAGATTACACTTAATTCACTTGTAGTAAGTAGTAGCACGCATTATCGTAGTGTACGATTGCAGCACATAATGCGTGCTACTGTGTGTTACATACACAAGTGAATTAAGTGAAATCTCGAAAGATGAATCACAGAAGTATAATTTCCACACTGACGAAGTCGCAGGCACCCGGGCACGAGTACTTAACGCTTGCTTTCCAATTTCAGAGCATAATGCGACTCAGTGCCGCACAATGCCGAATTATGCTGATGCTTAATTGGAACGTGAATTACTTTTCAAATGCACCAGCAGAGTGTGCTAAGTTCAGTGTTGAAAAAAAAGTCTATGTTTGTACCTTCATCCATACTTATATTTATTTTTTAACAGTTTGAATAAACTTTGATTATTTAAAAAAAACTATTTAATGAAACGAAAGCTTTAATAATTTTTCAACAATAAATAATACTACTAACTTACTACTACTAAATATAAATAAAACATTTCGATCAATGCCAACTTAAAGAAAAAACACTTGTTAATTTTCTGTCTCTAAGTTGGTACGATTGCACGCATCACACGGAAGCATCACTTTTGAGAGTGCTCAATTGTGCGAAGCGTTGCTGTAGTTGGAACACTCAACGTTAAGTATTATGCCGCATAATGCGCTATAATGCGGTAATTGGAAAGCAACCAATATCTCTCAAAAACTTGTTTTATGATGATAGTATCTGTGGAGGGACATTTAAGAAACAATCGAGTTATTCTATTCTCTATTAAATTGTACACTATACATTGTTCCGACGATTATTTATTACGTTCTAATTTTAAACGTTACATTTGTAAGAGAAACTGTGTCACTGGTAATATAACTGCACGCGTATAAAATGCATCTGACAATATTAATGTAACGCAGTAATGCAGACATCGTTCGAAAACTTTCTTTTATGAAAAATCTGTTTCAAAAACATGATTTGACATCGAAATTTTCATTTAAGTTTCTTATGTGCTTCTTGAATATTAAGCTTTTGATGTGTGTTTTGGTATACAGACAAAGGATACCTCGGATTTAAGCTAATTTTAAATATTATTGTGTGAGATTTCATGAAATTCTTATTTCTCTTATTTTTTTACCCTAAATCCGTATCTAGAAGTGAATTAATTTTTAATAGGTTTAAAATGATGATTCGTGTTTTGCGATCAAATCCCACCCATGTCCTGGCGAAC